ATTTAATAGATCTTGACTTTAAGAAATGGACATATTATCCTTACTCGTTAATACTAACCTGAACCTAGAGTACCCTGAGTAAATTTCATTGTATTTTAGCGTTGATTCTATTATCTGAGTTATAATTAAGAATACAATGCTGCCGAACGTGGCCAAATTGTGTTGTGAGCATTTCTTGGATGTATGACTTCAGTTTTTCCATTGTCAACTTATGTAGTAATACGTAGTATTATTAATGTAGTAGTCGCCCGCGTGGCGCAGTGGATAGAGCGTCTGCTCTAGACTCGCAGAGTAAGGAGTTGATCCTTACGTTGCGGGTTCGAATCCCACTGTGGGACGTGGAGACCGGTTTTTTTGGATGAGACCGTATAAACCGAGGTCCTGTGTCGCAGTAGGTGCTGCTGGCACAAAAAAGATCCCTCACTGCTCAATGGCCCTAAGTGCCGAGTATAGGTCAAAATTTGCAGCGCAAGTTCTACTGTCGATATAATGACCTGCTTAGTAAATACTACCTATCGTTGGGTCGTATTTTATCTAACATGTTTCATACCATTTGTTAGGTCATTGCTTTTACACTAAATTTGACTACTCGTGTAGCGGCATACAGCAAAATTTCATCCAAATATTTCACTTGTGGAGACAAGAATGAAATTTGGCCCAAGTATCAGTCAGATAAAACTGTTTCTAAAATCATCGTTGGCCATCGCATCACGATGGTGAAAAGAATTTTCAAAACCTTATAAAACCTTATATAAAGTGTGACATTAATGCAAATATTTTTAAGACAGCAATAAGAGAGAGAAGGCAATTTGAAGGCATCGTGCATCTGCATAATGCACATGGGGACCTCACTGCAAAAGGAGAAACTTCTGGCTGAATTTCGTGAAATAAATGTACTTGTTATCGGAGGCTCCATATTTCCACATAAAAGAATCTGTAAAGAAACTTGGGAGTCACCAGATGGATTTATGATTTATGAAAAGCCAGACTGATCTTGTCAGGATAAGTCACAGATGAAAAAGCTTGGACCTCAGTTATGTAAGAGTAAACCAAGAAGCATATGTAAACTCAGACTACCATCTACTACTTTGCGAATTGAAAATATGACTAACAATCTCAGAAAGAGGAGACATAAAAGCATTGAGTACAAGGTTGAAAAACTAAAAGACACTAATCGAAGAAAAATTCGAATTCCAACAAAAGAATCGAATTCAAAGTCTATATACTATAGAATACCTCGATAAATCAATGGGATACCGACGAAGACACAAAGTGTTGAAAGAAGGATAGAAGTAAATAAATAAAATGAAAGAATTCATTTTACTAAAAATGGCAGGGAGCTAATGAAAAAAAGCAGTACAAGGATGCAAAAGCAAGACTGCAAAGACGTTAGCTCCAAACTAAATATCAGGAGCTAGACAAAGAGGTCTATCATAACTGATCATAACTGCAAGCATGTAAAAGATACTTCATAGTTAAACGAGCTTGCTTTGGACGCTGAACTTGCAGCCCCCGGAGGAGATTTGAAGACTAACATAACATCATAAAAACTCTTAGAAACAGATCTCGTAAAGCCAATCCGGTCAAAAAGAAACAAAATTGGCAAGCTTGATCAACAGGAACAAATAGATATAACAAACACATCAAAGAAGTACTAAATAAACCAAACTCTAGGGGACCAATAACAATCTACCCAGATAAAGACCTGAATGCAAAAATAGATGGAAGAAACGAGGAAGTGACAACAGCTACTAATGTTAAATCTTTTCAATGTGGAACAAGCAGAAATGGAGGAAATCCTAAATGAGGCATTGAGGACTAAAGACAAGAAAAAGAGGAACATGTGTATAGACTGTTCAACAAAGTATGAGAAGCAGAGAGAATCCCTATTAAGGTCAGACTTCGCGTTCCTCTAATACCGTTTTTTTTTTTTATTTCTTCGTAATATATATGAAAATTCAATAAAAATCATCATCTTGTGATTTCTAAATTGTTTTCAAAATGTTTCCAAAAAAGAAAAAAAAAAGAACACCAAAAATCATGATAATGCCAATTCAAGCTCAAAGTCCATTTAGACAATACAAATCAAAAGCAAAGCAACCACAGACCTCCCAAAACATCAGAGGTGGGGTCAGGTACAATGGAGGAGTGAGCATCCCCTGCCGACCGGTCTTACCCGCAGTATGTTCCTTATGAACGGGAAAATCGGATAAATTCGTAGACAATTCAGTGTGTAAATAATGGCCTAACAATTAGTATAAACATAGGTAATCAGAGATTACAGAGCTCACCTCAACGAATGTTGCCTTTAAGTAAGGCAAAGTCCCACACTAAACTAATAATCTAGCAGTGTGCATCCCTAGATGCAACATTTATGCGATTTTGGTCTGATAGGGCTTGCAGTTACTTGGTAATAGACTTATCTGAAAACTTAAAACTAGTCACTCATCCAGAAAATGTAAGTCAAATCCAGCATCCGAAGCAAGTTTTGAGATTGTTCGTCCCTTGATGCATCATCCATGCAAGTTTTGATCAGATAGGCCTTATAGTTACTTGGAAATGAGATCTGCTCCAAAAATTTTAATCTGGTTACTCATCCGAAAAAAGCAGGTCAGATCCAGCATCCGAAGCAAGTCCAGTAGTGTACATCCTTAGCTGTATCATCCATGCAAGTTTGGTCAATATAGGGTTTATAGTTACTTGGAAATGACATCTGCTCCAAAAACTTTGACCTGGTCACTCATCCGGAAAATATAGGTCAGATCCAGCATCTGAAGCAAGTCCAGTAGTGTGCATCCTTAGATGTATCATCCATGCAAGTTTGGTCAATATAGGGCTTATAGTTACTTGGAAATGAGATCTGCTCCAAAAACTTTAACCTGGTCACTCATCCAGAAAATATAGGTCAGATCCAGCATCCGAAGCAAGTCCAGTAGTGTACATCCTTAGATGTATCATCCATGCAAGTTTGGTCAATATAGGGTTTATAGATACTTGGAAATGAGATCTGCTCCAAAAACCTTAACCTGGTCACTCATCCGGAAAATATAGGTCAGATCCAGCATCCGAAGCAAGTCCAGTAGTGTGCATCCTTAAATGTATCATCCATGCAAGTTTGGTCAATATAGGCCTTTTATTTACTTGGAAATGAGATCTGCTCCAAAAATCTTAACCTGGTCACTCATCCGGAAAATATAGGTCAGATCCAGCATCCGAAGCAAGTCCAGTAGTGTGCATCCTTAGATGTATCATCCATGCAAGTTTGGTCAATATAGGGCTTATAGTTACTTGGAAATGAGATCTGCTCCAAAAACCTTAACCTGGTCACTCATCCGGAAAATGTAGGTCAGATCCAGCATCTGAAGCAAGTTCAGTAGTGTGCATCCTTAGATGTATCATCCATGCAAGTTTGGTCAATATAGGGCTAATAGTTACTTGGAAATGAGATCTGCTCCAAAAACTTTAACCTGGTCACTCATCCGGAAAATGTAGGTCAGATCCAGCATCCGAAGCAAGTTCAGCAGTGTGCATCCTTAGATATATCATCCATGCAAGTTTGGTCAATATAGGGCTTATAGTTACTTGAAAATGAGACCTGCTCCAAAAACTTTAACCTGCTCCAAAAACTTTAACCTGCTCCAAAAACATTAACCTGGTCATTCTTCAGCTGAAATTGCAGCATCTGAAACCTTGACTGGTACAATGAAACACACTAGAAGCATCCTCCATGCATCTCTGACTAATATAGGCCATAGAAGTACTTGAAAAGAAAACTGCTCCAAAAACCTTAACCTGGGACGCCGACGCCGACGCCGAGGGTATTACATAAGCTCCCCCAACTTCGTTGAGGTGAGCTAAAAACGTCATTCAGTCAACAAAGGCTGTATTTGCTGACATGGTCATTGTATCGACCATAAAACTTGTGAAATGATAAATTCAAACGAGACATTTGATATCCTTGTTTCATCAACTTGTTTGTCAATAACTTGCCTCGTTTTAGAATTTTTTTCATACGTAGGGCATGCTCTTGCGTATCAAATCATCTGGGAGACAAAAACCCCATATACAGGTGTTAAGGGTATATTGCAACGTAAGTAAGAGAAGTTGACGATTGAAAAATTGAAGTTCATCACGTTATTCATAGAGCTTTGTTGTAGGTTACCATTAAAGTATCTTTCTAGAAAAATATCCATATATGAAACAGATGTGTCAGACACTGAGGTATCTTTTCTTTCAAGCTTACTGGAAAATATCGAGTCGACATATGAATGGAAGTAACTATTGTTAATTGATAATGCGTCGTCGATATATATAAATGCCGAGTTGAAGGCCACAGCATGTGTTTTCTTCTTTTCATGTAGAAGTTGCTGAATAAATTCTGCTTCAGAACACAAATACAATGAATACAAACATAGGTTGGCTAACAAGGGGGTGCAATTGGTACCTATGGAAATTCCAACAGAATGTTGGGAGAGGATTGTTGTTACAATTGTAAAGCCATCATAATAGGGATGACGTCGTTGTGTATTTCGTATTGTGTAATTGTTACCATGTTGATAAATCCTGTTGTCAACAGATAAACTTTGTACCGTACAGATGTGTTTATCTCTTGTAACACCTGTTCTGTTTTTTTTTTTTTTTTTTTTTGATATATATTCCCACACCACCACAATTTGAAAGTTGCAATTGGTATTTTTCCCTTCTTATTTCCATATGATCCCTTTTCATGGTCAATGTGCTTCTCTTTAGAGAATTCCACATACATGACCTACATCAATTTCTATTTACAAACATTCGTATTTGGTTGCAGAAAACGTTTAAATTCTATAACCGATTACTGTTTGGTAGTCGCTATAACCGGCTTTTCGGATCGACTCTAATATTTCTGAATAAGACTCTTTTACAATTTCTCCAAAGAGAATTGATTAACACTAATCATAATCATCTCGATGCAAATTTAAAATTAATGTCATTTGATGACGGTAACTAGATATACCAACTTCAGTAGCTGGGTGTAGGTCGATTCCAATGACTTCAAACTCTTGCAAGTCTTTGAAGGGGTTATAACAGCTTCCTACATCAAGCACACGTGGTCTTTCTGGTATATGATTCCTTCTGAAAGAAAAAAAATGGAATAATGAAATCCTGTAACTTGTTATATTGGTAAGCGTCATAACAGTCTTAATTTAAAATAAGGTTTCTAGATAATGATACCTGGACAAATTATATAAAAATAACAAAAGGATTGTGGGCCACAACGCTCACATAAGTAACCTTGGCATTGCTGTTCTTTATCAGAATAGTTTTAAAAACTTCTTTTCTCTGTATTCCGATGAACATTTTTGACTATAGATTCTGAACCCACTCTAGCGTTAAGAGGCCATGCCTTAATTAAACTTGAATCTACATAACATGAGGATCAATGTTCTGGAGAAAAGGATTTTTAAAAGACTGTTTCCTGAATACATGATATTTGTAAATATTTTAGCATATTGTAGCAACTTCTTAACAAAGAGTCTATAATTTGGAAAAAAGCATTAAAATATTGGAGTATGTTGCATATAGGTAAAATGGTGTGGTTCTATTACTTTTAATTAAAATGAATTATTATCTAATTCATATTCTCATGTAAAACACTTATTTCCCTATTTTAGCCAATTCCAGTCCAAGGAAGCATTATTTGAATAAATATAAACCCGTTTTACATTGTAAGGATTCCAGATTAGTATGATTTGTGATGGTCAAGTGTTTCCTATGAAGATTTCTAACAAAAGACTCTTTATCCATTGTCCAATGTTAAATTCTTATCCCATATTGTAGCCCCACACTTCTCCATCGGGCCATTATTTAAATCTGCACTTTCTGAAGATGCTTCCATATTTAATTTGAAACAGAGAATCTAGCAATACGAGATACACTGATAATACTGAGTGTCAACATGTCTTCTATATGTTTACTAGTTAATATTTACACCCACTGAATATTTCCTCCTTTATTTCTTATGAAAAAACCAGGGTCATTTATCAATCTGTAAACCCGTTTTCAGACCACCTGTATAAAGTGTACTATCCATCAATGAAACAGACAATGATGTACATATCAATACTGCAATATATAACGTACGTGAACCTATTTTATATGCTTATTTATACAGACATAAATATAAACAATAAAATGACTTTCTTTGATTGTAAGTATGGGATTAACGGTTGCAGCTGTTACAGAAAAAATTACATAAGCGGGTTATTTATTTTTTCTGTTGCAACAGCTGAACCGCTAATTCCAGTACTAACAATAAAAGAAGGCATTTTATTGTTTACTAGTTGTTTTTTTTGGAAAAGAAAAATCATTATCATCAAACCTACCAACTAAGATGCTATGATGTGAAATTAAATTTGGCTTTTCTGCCCACGCTTTCCTCTTATAGTTTGAATAATTTAACCCACCTCTTAAGTTTTTTAATACTAAGTTTTCATTATTATTTAAGATAAACCTTAAGAAATGTTTCTGTCAGTACGTATGGTGCGTATGCCATCCAAGAAATCTACATACTGATAAAACGAGTCATCTCTTCAAATGTTTACTTAACGGTTGCTAAAGATGTTAGTAGAAGTGATTTAGTATTCTAGAATACTTAAAGGTCGTCATCTTTAGATGCTGCCGAGACGGCTACACTTCTTAAACTGACTTCATTATTTATAACACCAGAATTCACCATATGGGCTTTTATTAAACGGGAGAACCATTGTCCTTAAGGTCAACCGATTCATACTCTGCTTCAGTATCTCGATCCTTTTTTTCTCTACCGATGAACTGTCTGCCAAACTAATTGCGGTTACAAAATTCTCTATTCTTGTCTGCCCACTATTTCCTTTCAAAGTATGAAATGCAACAAACATGTACATCCAGTCACGTTCGGTGCATCTGCCCAGAAATCTGCTCACATATATAACAAATTATCTTAATTATCAACACTTAACTGTTGCTAACCTTCATCATATTCAGTTACGAGTCAGTTACTTCACTACAGTACTCAGAGGTCGTCAACTTTTGATGTTGACGAGATTACTATATATTTCCTATACTGTTTGTTACTCAGCTTTCACCTAAGAGTAAGTTAATAGTAAAGACAAAATCTTTTTTGTGGTTTTAACCAGTAAAATAAGAGTGATTGTTGTAAGAAATTTAATACGCAATATTTATAGTTTGATATTACTGAACTGATTTCTTAAATGAAAATTCATTTAGATAATATTTCTAATAATTTTTGTTTACTGTGAAGCTATTTATTTCGTCGGAAAATTATTTCCGATTTTTTCTTGGCATGAAGAGACATATCGTTTCATGAAATAATAATAGATAGATCCATGTCGCCGATGAAATGTGAAAATTTCATACAATAGTATCATTTTCCTTTTTTTCACCATGAAATTAAATTCCATCAAACCATTAGCCCTATGTAATGATAAAGTAGAAGATTGATTGATTGATTGTATGTTGTTTAACGTCCCTCTCGAGAATTTTTCACTCATATGGAGACGCCACCATTTGCCGTTGGAGAGCTGCAAATTTTGTCCTATACTCGGCACTTACGGCCATTGAGCAGTGAGGGATCTTTTTCGAGCCAGCACCTACTGCGACACGGGACCTCGGTTTATACGGTCTCATCCGAAGGACCGGTCTCCACGTCCCACAGTGGGATTCGAACCCGCGACGTAAGGATCAACTCCTTACTTCGCGACTCTAGAGCAGACGCTCTAACCACTGCGCCACGCGGGCGACATAAAGTGGAAGAAATATCAAAAGTAATCAAGTCTTAAGATTTTTATTCCCTTCGCAAAGAGTGTTATAAAGAAAATACTCTTTGTTATGAGATACCAAACGTAAAAAAACCCCCATAAGGACATGGAATTAAACTGCCAAAAGTTTCTCCAAATTGCTTTTTATATCCATGTTAGCAATTCCGATATAAAATTCCCTAAGCTATAACATCCTAGCATATAACACTGCATTACGAAAAGATAAAGACAAGAAAACATCAAAGAAAATGTAATAAAATAGAAAATTCAATTGTTTGTAGTGGGATATGGAATTAATTTCATTCTTATGACAGGAATTTTTGATTTTTTTTTTTCGTGCTTTGCAGTCCTAAGGCATGTATGACGAAGAATCTTTTCAGTCCGTAGAGAGCTTGATCCGTGATCGGAAGGTCATGAGCGCGACTGACCTAAGCCTAAAAAGGTAGCAATTGTTCCTTCGCCAAGCGCTCGATACTTTTAAGTGAAAGTTGCAGGTCTTTCGTAAGATACCTCAACAATCGAGGCCCCGTGTCACGGCAGGCGTTAGCACGATAACGATCCTTCACTGCTCAATGGCCCTGAGTGCCGAGTAAAAGTCTAAATGTGAAGCTCTTCATCGTTATAAGGTGACGTCTCTATATGATTGAAATCATTCTCGAATGGGGCGTTAAACAACATACAATCAATCAATCGCAGAATCTTTTAAGAAAATTGCTTAGTTTTGATTTGGCGATTAATTTATTTTTGCTTGTGAATGCCGCTGATTTCTTGGTTAAAAAGCCCTAGTTCATTCCTTGTAGTGTGTTATATGTTACAATTTAACGTAAGATAACAAAGACTGTCCTTTTGCCCTTTTTATTATGCCCCTGGATCGAAAGATCCCGGGGGTATATTGTTTTTGTCCTGTCTGTCTGTTTATCTGTTTGTTTGTCTGTCTGTTGTCAACTTTAACCTTGCCCATAACTTTTGATTGGTTGAAGCTATGACTTTCATATTTCACATGTGTATTCCTTGTGACAAGACCTTTCTTTGGGTACCATCATATTTGACCTTTTGACCTTGACCTTGGAGTTTGACCCACCTTTGCAAAATTTTATGAGACTTTAACCTTGGCCATAACTTCTGAACAGTTGGTGCTTGGGGATTCAAACTTCACACGTGTATTCTTTGTGACAAGGCCTTCCTTTGGATACCAACAACTTTGACCTTTTGACCTTGACCTTGGAGTTTGACCTACTTTTTAAAAACTTTAACCTTGGCCATAACTTTTGAACAGTTTGTGCTTGGGGTTTCAAACTTAACATGTGTATTCCTTGTGACAAGACCTTCTTCTGGATATCAACTTCTTTGACCCTTTGACCTTGACCTAGGAGTTTGACCTACTTTTGAAAAACTTTAACCTTGGCCATAACTTTTGAACAGTTTGTGCTTGGGGTTTCAAACTTCACATGTGTATTTCTTGTGACAAGACCTTCCTCTGGATATCAACCTCTTTGACCCTTTGACCTTGACCTAGGAGTTTGACCTATTTTTGAAAAACTTTAACCTTGGCAATAACTTTTGAACGGTTAGAGCTAGTGCTTTCATACTTCACATATGTAATTCTTGTGACAAGACCTTCCTTTGGATACCAACCACTTTGACCTTTTGACCTTGACCTAGGAGTTTGACCTACTTTTGAAAAACTTTAACCTTGGCCATAACTTTTGAATGGTTGATGCTAGGGCTTTCATACTTCACATATGTAATCCTTGTGACATCACCTCTGAATACCAACCACTTTGACCTTTTGACCTTGACATAGGAGTTTGACCTACTTTTGAAAAACTTTAACCTTGGCCATAATTTTTGAATGGTTGGTGCTAGGGCTTTCATACTTCACATATGTAATCCATGTGACAAGACCTTCCTTTGGATACCAACCACTTTGACCCTTTGACCTTGACATAGGAGTTTGACCTACTTTTGAAAAACTTTAACCTTGGCCATAACTTTTGAATGGTTAGTGCTAGGGCTTTCATACTTTACATATATAATCCTTGTGACAAGACCTTCCTTTGGATACCAACAACTTTGACCTTGACCTTGATGTTTTACTCACTTTTAAAAAACTGTAACCTTCGCCATAACTTTTGAACAGTTGCAGCTAGGGCTTTCAAATTTAACATTTTTTATGTTTTGGCCTGGATTTTGACTTGCATTTGATAAACGTTAACCTTCGCCATAAGCTGCTATACGGGGACATCAGTGTTTCACAAACACATCTTGTTTGAAGTTAAATCTCTCTTTGTAATACTCAAACGAAATTCATTTATT